TACTTAAACGTAAACATAACTTTACAAAGTTATTACTCACAGATGGCTCCAAAACAAACAAACAGAGCAGACAAATCAGATAACTTGCGGCGCATAACTTACACAGATACAAAACGAATACGTATTGAATTACACATCCGGAATCATTAACTTAGTTCTTTCTTATCTTGGTGTGTTTCTACTTCTTATCCTCATTCTTATGTCTTAATCTTGGCCTAAGAATGCCTAGGATGCAATGAGGATGCTAATATGCACTTGAAAACACTTAACAAAACTTACTGAAATCAGGGGTCTCGCTCGAGTGGATGTTCAAAAATGTGAATGGTCGCTCGAGCGCAACTTCGGTTGCTTGAGCAGTCTATAAACTCTGCAAAAGTACTGGTTGCTTGATTTTTCTGCTTGATGTTCGCTCAACTCTCGCTCAAACGTGAGACTAAGGTCCTTGCATGAACGTAACTCTTGTCGCTCAAGCGGTCTGTAAAAATTGTAAGCTTCTGGGAGCATGCATTTTATGCTCTAGCCAACTTTTGGTCGCTCAAGCGGAAGTGCAAAAACACAGTGTCGTCGCTCGAGCGCGGGTTCTGTCGCTCGAGCGAAGAGGCAGAATTTGGAATTTCCAAATTGCTATACTTGATGCAAAACTCGAATTCAAAGCCATTAAAATCAACCTTTGGGCCCCAAAACTTGAGAAAACAAGTCTGAATTTTGAAAACATTAAGAATTAAAGATCATTTCATGGAATTAAGGCCCAACAACATGCCTTTTGCTCAAAATCAAACTTGAATTGTATGTATGAAGAACATGCATGAATTGTTATAAATTCAACTTTCCAAAACATGATCAAACAAGGTAAGATGGCATGAAACTTTGAACACATGCATGAGAGACTTCTTGAAATCAAACTCAAACTGTGATGAAATTGAACATGCATGCATGGTATGATCTATACTCCTTCATTCTAGCTCATTTTTAACTTAATTCTCTTGTATTCATGAACTCACCAACTCAAAAGCAAGACCAAAGGCTTGATTTCTTACCTTAAACCTTGAATTCACAAGTGTAGAGGCTTAAACTTCTAAATGCTCTTCAATTCTCCAACAATTCCCAGCAATTTCCCCCTTTCTCTAGCTTTTGATCTCTTTCTCTCATCTTCTCTCTCTCACACATTGTGAAGCTTCAAGATGAAGAAATGAGGGTGCAAAAATGAACAAGTGGAGTGATATTAGCCTTATATAGGCTTAATTAAGAGTTGGTTAATTAATTGACATTAATTATTCTAATTTAATCGTTCCGAATCGAATTTCAATCAAACCTACCATAACACATAAATCAAGTCAATTCGTGACCAGATGCCAATAGGGCCTTCAATTTACAGAACAAAACAGAAACACAAACAGATATTTCTACAAGAGACAGATAGAAACACAAATAATGCAATGCACATGTAATTAACTCAGGATTTCATCTTAATTATTTATTAGGCATACTTAATCATGGCTTATCACTGTTTAATAGTTAATCATGGGTCGAGGTTGTTACAGTCTTCCCCCCTTAAAGAGTTTGGTTCTCCAAACTCGAAGTACCTTTATTTTGAAAGAATATTAGATCTAGAGGAAACAAATCTGGGTATCTCTTCATCATATCTTCTTCCGTCTCCCAGGTTGCATAAGTCCCTCCGTGGTTCTGCTAATCAACCTTCACTAATGAAATTTTCTTGTTTCTCAATCTTTTGATTTGGCAGTTCACAATCTGTATTGGCCTTTCTTCGTATATGTAATCATTCTTCAAAAGTACATGTGTCGGCTCAATAGCATGATGTGGATCCCTTAAATATTCCCGAAGCATTGAGACATGAAAAACATTGTGCATATGTTCTATGACTGGCAGTAAAGCTACCCGATACGTCATCATATTAATCTTTTCAAGGATTTCATACGGTCCAACATATCTCGATGCTAGCATGCCCTTTACACCAAACCGCGTCTGGTATTTCATTGAATTCACTTTGATAAACACATGATCCCTGATTTCATATTCTCGCTCTCTTCTTCAAATATCTGCATAACTCTTTTGGCGGCTTTGTGCTGTTTTCAACCTCTGCTGAATCAATTTCACGTTTCAATTATTTCTTGCACCCATTCCGGTCCCAACAAAGGCCTACCACCTACCTCGGCCCAACAGATCAGAGAATGACATTTTCTACCATACAAAGCTTCGTAAGGAGCCATACTGATACTTGAGTGGTAGCTATTGTTATACATAAACTCAGCCAGTGGTAAGCAGGTCTCCAATTGCCTTGAAAGTCCAACACACATATCCGTAGCATGTCTTCTAATGTTTGAATGGTTCGTTCAGATTGACCATCTATTTGTGGGTGATAAGCACTGCTTAGTCTCAATTCAGTCCCTAAAGCCTGTTACAAACTCTGCCAGAATCTCAAAGTAAACTTGGGATCTCTGTTAGATACTATGAAAACTGGAACTCCATGCAATTTCATAATCTCATTGATATACAAGTTAGCCAACTTTTCCGCATTATATAAAGATTTGACAGGCAAAAAGTGGGCATATTTAGTTAAACGATCTACAATGACCTAAATAGAATCCATACCTTGAGAAGAGCGAGGTAGTCCAACAATGAAGTCCATGGTAACATGTTCTCATTTCTATTCTGGTATTGGGAGCGACTGAAGTAATCTAGCGGGTCGTTGTTGTTCAGCTTTAACTTGTTGCAATGTAAGCATCTAGCCACAAAATCAACAATGCTTTTCTTCATTCCTGGCCACCAGAAAATTTTGTTTCAAGTCATGGTACATCTTTGTATTCCCCGGATGTATAGGAAATTTAGAGTTATGGGCTTCAGTCGTAACATGTTTTATCAAAACAATCTGGTACACAAAGTCTATTCTAGAATTTCAATACATTGTTCTCCAACACAAATCTTGGCTATGGTTTTGAGTCTATTTCATCCACTATCTCTTTTAGAAATTCATCTTGTAGTTGTTCCTCTCTAATCTCTTCAATGATTGCAGGTTGAGCAGAAATGGAGGCCAAGATCCCGCTCTGTTCATGTAATACAATTTTAATCTCATTCTTCTCCAAGTCACACAACAACTCCCTCTAACCGGTGAGCAAACATGATAAATTCCCAATAGATTTTCTGCTCAATGCATCTGCGATAGTATTTGCCTTCCTTGGATGATACAGAATTTGCAAATCATAGTCCTTGATCAATTCCAACCATCTTTTCTGTCTCATGTTCAGCTCTTTTTAGGTGAAGAAATATTTTAAACTTTTACGATTTGTATATACTTCACAAGTCACTCCATACAGATAATGGCGCCAAATTGTCAAAGCAAACACCACAGCTGTCAATTCAAGGTCATGAGTCGAGTAATTCTTTTCATGTGGGTGGAGTGGTCGAGAAGCATAAGCAATCACTTTCCCATTTTGCATTAACACACATTCCAAACCTTTGTAAGAAGCAGAACTGTAAATTTGAGATCCATCAGTGCCATTAGGCAAAGTCAAAATTGGTGCTGTTACTAACCTGGTCTTTAGCTCTTGGAAAGCAGACTCTCTTTGATCATTCCAATCAAATGATACATTTTTCTGTGTTAACTGTGTCAATGGCATGGCAAATTTAGAGAAGTCTTTTACAAATCTGCGGTAGTAGCCAGCAAGCCCCAGAAAACTTTTGATTCCTATCACATTGGTTAGTCTTCGCCAGTTTACAATGGCCTCAATTTTCTATGGGTCCACTGATATACCGTCTTTATTGATCACATGTCCCAGAAATGCTACGTTGTCAAGCCAGAATTCACATTTGGAAAATTTTGCATATAATTTCTTTTCTCTCAAAACCTGTAAGGCAGTTTTCAGATGATTCTTATGTTCTTCCCTGCTTTTGGAATAAATCAAGATATCATCAATAAACACAACTATAAATTCATCCAGAAATTGTTTAAACACTATATTCATCAAGTCCATGAAAGCTGCGGGTGCATTAGTTACCCTAAACGGCATCACTAGAAATTCATAATGCCCGTATCTAGTTCTGAATGCAGTTTTCTGTATGACCCCTGCTTTGAGTTTTAATTGGTGGTACCCGGATCTAAGATCTATCTTAGAGGACACTTGTGCCCCCTGGAGTTAGTCAAACAGGTCATCTATTCGGGACAATGGGTATTTGTTCTTCACGGTTACTTTGTTCAATTCACGATAGTCAATACATAACCTTAACAATCCGTCTTTCTTCTTAACAAATAACACTGGAGCACTCCAAGGTGAAGTGCTCAGTCGGATAAATTTCTTGTCTAGCAATTCTTGGAGTTGGACTTTTAATTCTTTCAGTTCTGAGGTCGACATTCGGTAAGAAGTCTTAGAAATCGATTGTGTTCCGGGTATAACGTCAATAGTAAACTCAATTTCCCTATTAATTAAGTCTCCAGGAAAATCAGTTGGAAATACATCAGGGAATTCATTTACTACAGGGATGTTTTCTACGATAAGACTGTCAGAAGTCACTTTCAAAATGTAACACAAGTAACCCCGGCACCCTTTCCTTAACAGTTTCTTGGCTTTTACAAAAGAAATCAAATTTGGTGAAGGAACTACCCCATTCCCAATGAACACAAACTTAGGCACACCAAGTGGTCGAAACATAACAGTTTTATTCACACAATCAATAGTTGTGCAATACTTCATCAACCAATTCGTACCAGGTATACAGTCAAAATAATCAATACCCAACGGTAACAAATCAACATACAATGTCATACCCCCAATAACAATGTAACATGTTGAATGAACATACGTGCATACCATAGAATCCTCAGATGGTGTAGATACAAATAACAAATAATTCATAGGTTCTACTGGTCTAGTCAATTTTTGAGAGAAAGCATGCTACACAAAAGAATGCGTGGAACCAGAGTTTATCAACACATAGGCATTCTGAGCACAGATAGAAATCATACCTGACACCATTGACTCAGTGTTCTATACAACACTAGGTACTAGTGCAAATACTCGACCTTGTCGCAAAGGTTCTTTTCCGGTATTGGTTCTCACATTCGTTCTCTGTGTAGGAGTGGATCCGGCGGAACTTGCCACATTGTCAAATCTCATCGGACAATCTCTAATCATGTGGCCGGTCTTGCCACACCGAAAAAAAGTGCCAGATGCACGGTAACACGTGCCTTTATGCTTTCTTCCACATTCTGAACAAACTGGCATAGACCCATTGCTTTGGCTTGAACTGCTTGAAGATCTAGTATTTTGCTTTTTGTTTGTAAAGGATGAGCGACCCTTTCGAAAATTGGATCCAGGTCTTTTGCTTCTCCATTCTGTTATTGGTGCTTTGGTTTGTTTCATTGCTGCCAGGGTGGCTTCTGCTATTAGTGCTCTGTCAAGTAACTCCACATATGTAGCCAATTTTAGGACGCCTACCTGGTCAAATACATCTAGGTCGAATCCCCCTTCAAATTTTCGAGCTTTCTTGTAATCAGTGTCGACCATGTAAGGAGCAAATCTGGCTAACTCAGTAAACTTAGCTTCATACTCGGCTACATACATTTTGCCTTGCTTAAGTTCTTGGAATTCAGAAACCTTTTGGTCCCGGAAGCACTGAGGAAAATACTTGTCATAGAAGATTTCGTTGAATTGAGCCCATGTCGTGTTCCCATTACTATTTCGAATTAACAATCACCATCTTTGGGCTTCATCTTTCAAAGTGTAGGTGGCCAAAAGAACTTTTTGCGTCTTGGAGTAGGGAAACACTTCAAACAATTTCTCCATTTTAAGAAGCCATGTCTCTGCCTTTAATGGTTCAATACCACCAAAGAAAGTTGGCGGTTTCATCTTCATGAACTTCTGAGTTAGGTTGATGATGTCATTGTTATCTGGTTCAACTTGTATCGGCAGAGGCGGTGGGGGCAAAGGTTGTTGCCTAAAAGATTTTGTTAAGGCTGCTAGCATTTGTTTCATACAGCTCATTCGGGCCTTGGAAGATTCAATTGCATCATTACTTCCTGCATTTTCCATGTTGCTATATGTAAACAAGGAAATAATAAACCTAGGAATAATCTTGTTCACAGGGTTCAGAGTATTCAGTTCCAATTCATTTCTTTCACCTTCATATGTATCTTTCTAGAGTCGGTTACTACATTAATAGAACTTAACACACACTCACACATGCAGATGAAATGTCCCTAATTCTTTTCTAGGACATCCTATAGCTCATATGGACTCGTGTGTGCGGTAAAACACGTGCTCTGATACCACTATGTCACAACCCAAATCCGCCCCTATAGGTTTAGCATCGTAATCAACCAGTAATCCTCGGATTACCGAAGGCCTCTGAATTGAATAGCAAAATATAAGGGGCTAGCAGAAGCAAATATATAAAACTTACGTAGTCCATTGAGCTGTGTAGACAAACATGGGACAAATTTTTTTTTGAACTTATATATATACACACATGACGTCATTATTACATAAGGCTTATAGCAACATATAGATACTACCAAAAGGGACTTAGCCTAGTGTATGGACAACAAAACAAAGCTAAATGGATGTCTTTAACATGGTTCAAAAACTTGACTTTGGCAAAATGGGAACCTCATCAGGAGGCACTGTAGCTGGCTGACTCAAAACTCTCCAGGCAACAGCTGAGGCCTGGTTACGCACCTGCTCACCTACATACATAACATAAATAGTGAGCGGAAGCCCAATAAATAATAACAGAGTAAAGGGTTTTATGAATGATGTCCAATATCAGATTTAGCAAGCAGAAACAGATTCATATTCTTATTCAGAGTTCGAAAACATGTATTTATTCCCTGAGGATCATACGTGGTATATCTATTAGTGTTAACAGATCATATACAGAGCATTAAAGGTCATACTTGTTAGTTCCATAAAGGAACCTGTAGTACCGGAAACTTGTAACATACTTGAGCCACGACATTGTTACCCCCAGGCGAGGGCCATGAAACCACGGTATTATTACCCTTGGACAAGGGCCTTGTGCTCATAAACCACAATATTGTTACCCTCGGGCTAGGGCCTTGTGCTAAGGATGCAACGAATACTTTTCAATTTATGGACAATCATTCATGGATTCAAAACACAACATATCAGAAAATAAAGCATTTCATGTCATATCATATCATATAAGAAATTACTTAAACGTAAACATAGCTTTACAAAGTTATTACTCACAGATGGCTCCAAAAGCAAATAGACTGAGCAGACAAATCAGATAACTCGCAGTGCGTAACCTACACAGATACATAACGAATACGTACTGAATTGCACACTTGGAATCATTAACTTGGTTCTTTCTTATCTTGATGTGTTTCTACTTTTTGTTCTCATTAATATGTCTTAATCTTGGCCTAGGAATGCCTATGATGCAATGAGGATGCTAAAATGCACTTGAAAACACTTAACAAAACTTGTTGAAAATAAGGGTCTCGCTCGAGCGCAACTTCTTTTGCTTAAGCGGATGTTCAAAAATGCGAGTGGTCACTTGAGCACAACTTTGGTTGCTCGAGTGGTCTGTAAACTCTACAAAAGTACTAGTTGCTTGATTTTTTTCACTCGATGCTCGCTCAAGCATGAGACTAAGGTCCTCGCTCGAGCACAACTCTTGTCACTCGAGCGGTCTGCAAAAATTGTAAACTTCTGGGAGCATGTATTTTACACTCGAGCCAACTTTTGATTGCTCTAGCGGAAGTGCAAAAACATAGAGTCATCGCTCTAGCGCCCGTTCTATCGTTCGAGCGGAGAGGCAGAATCTGGAATTTCCAGATTGCTATACTTGATGCAAAACTTGAATTCAAAGCCATTAAAATCAACCTTTGGGCCCCAAAACTTGAGAAAACAAGTCTAAACTTTGAAAACATTAGGAATTAAAGATCATTTCATGGAATCAAGGCCCAAAAGCATGCCTTTTGCTCAAAATCAAACTTGAATTATATGTAAGAAGAACATGCATGAATTGTTATGAATTCAACCTTCCAAAACATGAGCAAACAAGGTAAAATGGCATGAAACTTGATGAATTCCCAAACAAAGATAAGATGAACACATGCATGAGAGACTTCTTGAAATCAAACTCAAATTGTGATGAAATTGGACATGCATGCATGGTATGATCTATACTCCTTCATTCTAGCTCATTTTCAACTTAATTCTCTTGTATTCATGAACTCACCAACTCAAAAGCAAGGCCAAAGACTTGATTTCTTACCTAAAACCTTTAATTCACAAGTGTAGAGGCTTAAACTTTTAAATGCTCTTTAATTCTCCAACAATTCCTAGCAATTTTCACATTTCTCTAGCTTTTGATCTCAATTTCTCTTATCTTCTCTCTCTCACATGTTTTGAAGCTTCAAGATGAAGAAATGAGGGTGCAAAAATGAACAAGTGGAGTCATATTAGCCTTATATAGGCTTAATTAAGAGTTGGTTAATTAATTGACATTAATTATTCTAATTTAATCGTTCCGATTCGAATTTCAATCAAACCTACCATAACATTCTAAAAATTCTAACTAACACAAAAATCAAGTCAATTTTGTGCTAATAAGGCCTTCAATTCGTAGAACAAAACAGAAGCACAAACAAATATTTCTACGAGAGACAGATAGAAACACAAATATTACAATGTACATGTAATTAACTCAGGATTTCATCTTAATGACTTATTAGGCATACTTAGTCATGGCTTACCATAGTTTAACAGTAAATCATGGATCGGGGTTGTTACAGTAGTAAACGGGAAAGTAGTAACACTTTGAAAGTAGTAACACTAGAAAAACAAAATTAACTGGAAAAACAAAATCAAATGGGAAAGTAGTAATTCGTTTTCAACCACTTATGGGAAAGTAGTAACATTGGGAAAACAAATTTTCTAGAGTCAACTAGGAAAGTAGGAAAGTAGTGACACTGGAAAAAAATCATCTGGAAAAACAAAATCAAAATGAAATGAGAAAGTAGTAAACGGCTGGAAAAAATAATCAAATGGGAAAGTAGTAACACTGGAAAAACAAAATCAAATGGGAAAGTAGTAAACGGGAAAGTAGTAACACTTTGAAAGTAGTAACACTAGAAAAACAAAATCAAATGGGAAAGTAGGAAAGTAGTAACACTTTGTATAGCGATCCTGGTTTTGACCCGACCCTTATCCCGAGCTCGAGTTTCATGATTCTGTATTGTTGTTCTTGTCTCTTTTTCCCTTATTCCTCTTTGAAATTGAGTTTTGGAGTGCGTTGGTTATGTTTGGAGCAGGTTGGTTGCTAATTGGTTCAAATTGTTGTTGTCTAGTTTTTGGCCTCTTCGCACGAGCGAAGTTTCTTGCACTCGAGCGAGCTTTGCGAGCTCCCGGTACTTTTGTAGGCTTGCAAATATACTGGAAGGGTATTACTCTTTGCTCGAGCAAAGACTTTTGCGCTCGAGCGATGGTCTTTTGTCTGTAAAACTTTTGAGAGTGTGTATTCTGCGCTCGAGCAAGGTGACTTATTTGTGTTTGATCATTTGAGCAACAATTCTTGCGCTCGAGCGAGCTGCGCGTATGTCAGTTCGCAGCAGCACCTTTTACTTCACTTTTTCATATATTTTGTTCCAAAAACCCTAGATCGGGACCTCCTCTCTCTAAACTCTCTCTCTCTACATTTTTCATCTAGATCTAGTGGGTTCTCTACTCGTGTCCCTTTGTTAAAAAGGTAGTACGTCTCAAGAGCTCCCTTTTGATCCGATTAAAGCTTGGTTTCGGCATTCTTGAAGCTCCTCCATCGCTTTCTTTGGTCTTCTGAGCTTGAGGTAGGAATTTTCTATAATTTCATTTGTATTTTAACTTAGTTATGAGTTGTTGTGTAACAATGGTGGAATTTGGGTGCACTATGAATTAACCTAGGGTTTAGGTATTAAATCAAAAAAGGGGTTTCTAAGTGAATGAGTTATAAATGGTTATAGGATTGAATATGAGGTTATATTATGACAAAATAGTTAATTTTGGCATTTGGGTTGATATATGGGAAAAATGGAGTTTGCCCTAAGATGCTTCAAATATTTATTTTGTATAAATAGAGTTGGTATTGAAAATGTGAAATTGAATGGATGTTGACATAAATGTTGAAGAAGAATATGTATTATCACTCACTTATGAAATTTTGAATAAATTATTTGTCTTGAGATTGAATATCTGTTTAGAAATATCTATATTGGGCTATCGGTGGAGGATAACTATAATTGTTGTATAAATTGCATGAGAATTAGGTGAATTGAAACTAATCTCTTATTGGTTGTCATTGAATATGACTGTGTTTTAAAAACATTGTATATGTATGATGTTTGGGAGGAGAAAATAGATGCACTCCATGTTTGAGAGGAGAAAGGGGATGGACTCCATTGAATTAAGTTGGCCTGTGTGTCTAAGGTGAAAGTCCCGAAACCACGCGTATACATGGGTGCCGATTCCCGTGGATGAAATTTTCGTAAAATGGCAAATTAAAGTGTTGGCATGATTGTTGTGTTGATTAGAGAACCGCTGAGTTGTAGTTTTGGTTGGGTGTTTGGAAAATAATGAAATTGGCTCATGACTTGAGATGAAATGAATTGATTTGAATAGAATTTAAGAACAATGCATTGAGATATAAAATTTGGTACTTTGTGATCTTGTGGAATATGAATGACTTGTCACAGGCATTGTATATGCACGTTGTACTTATACCTTTGTTAAGACTCATACATTGTGATAGATTATTTTTACTGGGCTTTGGCTCACCCTACTTGGGAAAAACTATTTTCAGGTGTTGGTGACATGCCTCTGCCAAGGCAATAGCGGCATTTTTAAGTGTTGGTGACATGCCTCCACCAAGGCAATAGCTTTGGGGGAATACGGGCTGAAGGCTTCTCTTTTTGTATCATGCTAATTGTTTTAAATTCTAGCCAAGGGCTTTATATGTATTGGATTTGCATTCATTTTGTTGTAACAAAGCACAACCTTGAAAAGATGTAAGCCATTAGGGCATATGAATA